CTTGCTGAAAAATCTAGAAAGTGCGCAAAGTGCTGGTCAAATTTCTAGGCTTTATGCCTCAGCATTGGCTTAATTGGGATACTACAGGTCTTATCAAATACAGAAAGAAAATAAGAAAATATAGGAGTCAGGATTTAATTTACATAATCTGCCAATAATTGAATGCTTTCCCTCAAAGTTTGACAGATGCTGTGTCCATTTCTGCGTCAGCATCGACTGCAGTTGTGTGGTGTTGATGAAGCTGATGTAATTTCTGTAGCTGTAAGGAACTGGCTTGATTGTAGCATTATATATTATGAATTGGTTTGTAGTGGAAAAGAAAGAATGGTCAAGATACATACTGATGTGCCTGAAAGACAGGTGAAGGTACAACTTTATAAGTAAGTTAGTTGTTATTTGAGTGTGTGTGTGTGTGTGAATTGCTAACTGTGTTCTAGCAATGGGTTTTGAATTAAAAAATAGTTGCTGCTTTCTAACTCTTCAGGACAAGAAAACATTAGAAGAACAGGCATCTTGGTAGGGCAGCTAGAAGTTCTAACTCATCTAATAGCAGTGAGCTGTTAAATAATAGTTTTTTTTCACGATGGTAAAGTGGAACCAGTACTGTACAGAAGAGTTGTTTAGAGGAGAAGAGAATACTTCCTTCTTTTAAAAAATTATTGTTCTGGTTTAGTCTTGATTGATTTGAGTGTTTATGGAAGAAATGTGTACTTAGGATTGGCAGGAGTGAGACGAGTTCCTGGAATTGTTGCATTTAGGATTAAAGCTACGATTATATAACAACAAAAAATTAGTGAGGTGTGGTACATTTCACATTTGCACAAACCTTCCTCTCCATTTTTGGTTAATGGTTATCCTTTCTGTAGCTATGTGCTGAAGTATAGTTCAGGTAAATCATTATCTTCTCACCGTGAAGGAATTAGTGGCCTTTTAGGTTTTGAAGATGCTTGTGCTTTTCTGTCCTGAGATGGGGAGATGCATAAGAATGCTTCAAGCATTAAAAGTATGCTATCTGAACACTTAGGCCACAGTCTAAAACTTTCTGACCGCAGAGGAGAGAAACTTGAAGTAGGGAAGGAATTTGAAGTAGGAATTAGAGTGTTGACTTATTTTTAAAAGGAAATTATGCTTTGATAGCAGAACTAAGCTGGTTTTTTGAAATGACTTATTACTGTGTCCTGCGTCTGTGTCTCATGCTGCCCTTCTCTGTACTAGGTTTTTCCTGCAGGGTTAGCCACTGCGCTGTTCCACAGCTGGCACAGAGCTGGGGCTGATGCTGGGTGGCAGTAAGTGCTCAAAAAGGAGGTGGCTGAGCAACTGTGCTTCAGTGCCCGCTTAGTATCTAAGGCATGAAAGTCTAGTCAGATGGAGGAACTGAAAATCATTTGTTTTTCAACAACAGGCCCACAAACCAGTTTGTGTGAAGTAAGGAATGGGAACAAATAGCTCATGAGTTAGAATCATAGACTGTCTCAAGTTGGAAGGGACCCATGAGTTACTCCATGGTGATTACCCGTATGTGTGTATTTGCAGGAAACTTCAGTTAGAGATGCATTGTCTTTAACTTAGAGAAGATGGGTTGTCTGAGGTAGAAGAGAATACATCTGGGCAGTTAACACTAACAGTTAACAGTAGTTAGTATGTTTATACCTAAGGCTATCTCTTTTAACTTTTTAAACAAGAGTTAGGAAAACCGAAAAAGCTACAAGTGACAGCAAAGGGGGAAAAGAAAAATAAAAATGCAAGAGATAGGAACAAAGATCTAGTGGTATGAACTTCAGCCTTATTTCACTGGAATGAACTTTGACTGAAACTTTGCATGCAAATATTAGTTTTTTTACTTACTTATTAAACAACACGTTGGTTTTGTTTGTTTAAAACAAAACAAATAGCTTTAAAGGCCTACAGTGGCTTTGGCCTAATTACTAGAAGAGGAACAGTAATATCTAAATCATCAAAATTACTGTCTAAATAAGCCCATACAGGCAAAACCTGTTCATTTCATGTAGTTTTAAAGCAGATCATGATTTGAATTTTCTTAACAATATGTAATTAACCAGCAGTCAATGAATCGTAGAGCTGTGATCAATATTAGCGACATAAATCACAACACTAGACATAAACAGAATGTTGATACACTACTGCAGAGTTCAAAATGCTCATTTGTAATCCCTGCAAGTCTTAATTGCACTCAATATGCGTGACCCCCAATCCAAGGTAGCATATTTGCTCTAAAACTCTTGTCATTTTCTGGCTACTCTTCCGGCTTAATCATCTTCAGTGTGATGAATATTGAGAAACCACTATCTGAGACAGTGCTGGGTGAACTCTTCACATGTAGCATTTATACTTGCATTCCTTTCTTAACAACTGTTACCTAGGCTGCTTGACTAAGGCTGTGTTGTGCAGCCTCTTCCTTCCCCCCAAAACATGGAGCGCTGAACCATGCAGGGTCCACCCCCACAGTAGTCACTCACCCAGACTTTGGCTAAAATCTGAATTTACTATTTGCGAACATGTTTTTGTGTCGTGATAATTGCTCTGTAGCTTTTCACCTCTGTCTAGTGAAGTGACTTCTGTCTTTTAGGTGTTGTGTGAACTCTGGGAATTTCTATTTTTAAATGCCAGTAGTAATCAGAAGCGTTGAACTTTATTGTAGTGTTTTGTCGGTTCTGAAGCATTACTAGGAGCTGGTAATGTCAAGCCTTGTCAGTGAGTGTTGACGCTTAACCTCAACAGTTCTGCTAGCAGCCTGAATTTTCGTAATTAGAATTTCATATTTTATTTCCTTTTGCAAGACTACTCCACAAAAAATCCATTTAGAAGCCATATGAATTGACTAAACATAGGTCAGTCAGCCTTTGGCTTATTTACCTGCAGCTGTTAAAATGCAGAAGACCTGTATATGCTTTTGATGGCTTTTTGGTCTTGAAAAGCTTCATTCTGATCATCAAATAATCAACATGCTTGTACTGTTTGTGCACTGAATCACTGGGGAACATGTATCCATGAATGTTTTGATATTACAGAAATTTATTCTTTATTTTAAAGAACAAGTTGTTGGTGTTGCTGAGAGAGGAAATAACTTTTAAGAAGTCTAAAATAGAGCTTAATCAATTTAGGAGGACTGTCAGTACATTAAGGATTGGATCCCCTCAGCATATTGCCATCAGTGTAGCTGCTTTGAGTGATGTTTTGGAGAAATGGAATTCTGATGAAAATGGTTGGGTGGGAGAAGTAGCTTGTTTGGTTTGTTGGGAGGCAACAAGGGAGTGCGAGAGTGTAGGGCTCACTTCTCTGTAGGTCCTTCTGTACCGAGTCGTTTGACACTCTGGTTATGATCAGCAGAATCCTTCTGGGTTAGATGTGATGTAGATGAAATGTAGCAAGTAGCAAAACCATGGCAATCTTTTCACTCGTTGGAGGTCATGCCTAAAGTGTTTTCTGCCTGTATGTGTCCCTGAATGTAGATCTTTCATTGCTGAGGTTCATCAGTGCTGAGCTAACAAGAGGTTACTTCCTCGAACACAATGAGGCAAAATACACAGAGCGGCGAGAGAGAGTGTACACCTGCATGCGGATACCGAAAGAACTGGAAAAGGTGAAGTGTGCTTCAGCATTTGTTTTCATTTAAAGTTTAAATCTGTTGCATTAATTTGTTTAGAGAAATATTTATTTATCAAACGTTCTTGTTACTGAAAGATTTAAATATAGTGATTAATTTTCAATGTTAGTAACTTAGAATTTGTGGCTTGGGTTTTTGCCTGTGTTTGCTTGTTGCTGCTAGTAACTCATGTTATTAAGGGAGATGGACGTGACTAACTTTCAAGTCCAGATGCTGACAAATTAACTAAGATATAAAGATGGCACTGATCCTTAAAGGAGTAGTCAAGGAAAAGAGAACTTTCTACAGAAAAATGTGATCTTACATTTAAAAAAAAAAAAAAAAAAAGAAAAAAGAAGATTTTTTCAGTCTAAAATGTTTTGAGGATGGGAAGATTTCAATCCTTTAAAAATAAATTGATGGAAAAGTTTCTGTCCAAGGTTTTTTTGACTTAATTTTCATAGCCTTATGTTTTGCTTCTTGCTACTGTTGAATGCATCTTCCCTCTCTGTCCCAGTGATATGGCCCTTCCTGAGGCATTCCT